GGCTCCTCAGCGCTGCTCTTAGGCTGGTGGAGCAGCGCTTGTGCTTCCCCCACCCCTCCGCAGTTATAAGTGAGGATGAAAAAAAAGAAAAAAAAGTATAATTATTGGTCAGAATAGGACTTTATGTAATGTACCTAGGCCAATATGCAGAGTGAATAAGTACCTAGTACGTCTGCAGAGCGTTTCATCTTATTTTTCCGTTTCAGGTCCATGCAAGGCAGGATCGCGGCACAAGCGTTCAGCTTCGACCAACAGTTTAAGCCCTATCAGAAGGATGAATTTGTTATGGTAGTTCCAAATCCTTTATATTTGAAGTTGATTTTTTTTCCATGAGATTACACCTACTGGAAAATTGCATAATGGCAAACATTGTAGCAGTGTTAACATGCTGTTCGCCTGCTCACTGTCTCCTTGAGAGCAGGTGATTTAAGTGTGGTGCTCGAGTCGTACTTTGTGGGTTGACTGCATTGTCCAGTAAAAATATTTTAGTTTGTACTAGTGTTACTCTCTTTTAAGAGGGAACAATTTAGTCGTTCAAGATTCCCAAGAGTGGGAATCTGAACTGGATGCTGATCTTGGCCACTGCATTTAATGTTGGGAAGTCCACCCAGGGGAGACTTTAAACAGCGTACATGCAGTTGGTACCCTTGCTCACAGCTGTTACTGCTTTTTCGTAGTAAATACACTGTGCAATTAGATGTGTATGTGCACCATGTATCTGAAAACACAAGATTTTAAAATTTATTGGATACCATTGCTTTATACTGCAATTTTGGGCTTTCAGCTTTTTGAGACGCAAGTCTCTTCCTGATTTTGTGTCCTGCACTTTTGTTCTCCACAAAGTCAAATCTCTTCGTCTATTTGCAGACACAAAAAACCCACGTTTTTTACATCTGTTGTTTTAAAAACAACTCTTTGATTTGTTGTATGTCTACTTTATATTGTTATCCTGGAAAAAAAATTCAGTTATTGAAGTTTACAAAATGCATATTTACCTTCTTAATGCCTGTCTCTTTTGAATTAAAAATGTAAAAATATCAGTATGAAATTATGAACTTGGAGTAGCTGTGAATTAATCGAGAACAAATAGACCATTACATTATATGTTCTGATCTCTCTGTATCCCAGAGAGGTGGTAAAGAGATTTGGTGATGCAGAGACTGAAAAATCCATCATTTTCTTAGCAGCTTCTTCAATGATTATTCACTCTGCTTGTATGCATATACATAAGTGTGGATTTTCTTAATTGCCTTATCTATAATTTAAACTTGTCAGCTACCAACATTACTATGCATGTCTCCTTTTTTTAAATTGATAAATCATTAAGATTGAATACTTCAAATCTTACTGTAGAACATCTTCTCCATCCCTTCAATAACTTATGGATTTCTTCTGTATCTGTTTAATAATTTTTGTGTGTCTTTACACTTCTTCAAGCTTGAAATTAATTTACAAAATGTTTTACAATCATACTTAGCATTTCATTTTTTACTTCAACAACATTGCATGCAGAGATACAATTGTTTCATCTTTTCTTCCATTGTCTGTACCTCCAAGGATTTTATACAACCTTTTTGTGTGTTCTTGGACTAAAAGTGCTTTACTGTAAAACCTTAATACTGCGTATATAAATATGTACATGAAGATATCTTGAATATGTAAAAGACACTGGCTACACAAAGTTACAAAAAAATGTATTTGGTGGTGTGATATTTAATATCTAAACTGAAAGATCATACAGAATCTACTTACTAACTGGATCCTTATAATTTGCTTTGAAATTATCCAAAGCACTATAAATGATGATTTTGTGTTTCATTTCGTTAACTTGCATTCTCTTATTTGAATATTATAGGCATTTTTTAATGATCCAAATGTGAACTCCAGTTTAAAGTTGCTCTCAGCTTCAGGACAATGGACTACATTGGGTAAATTTAGGATAAATTAATCTTAAATAAAAAAGTCTGTGTTGTAAATATTCTCCTCTAATTTACCATTTTGTAATAATAACAGTTCATATATGTGTATCTTCATCTGCCTGAAATATCTTGAAGAATGACTTCTTTTACTAAATAATAAGAAAAGTTTATTGCCTAGTTTGTTACTAAATTGTGACATTTTACTCTTGTTTTTTTTTCCTTGACCCCACCATCGATCCATGAATTGCTACTAGAATTGTTTTTAAATGGTCTGTGCCATCCAGCTGACCTGATCGTGTATCCAGACATAATCAACTGCATTAATTGTGGAATTATAGTACTTATTACCCAGATAATATTTGGAGAAAGAGACTCTTCTATAGATGCAACCACTTTACTTAGGACAGATCTGAGATTATTGCTCTGTTACAAACCAAGTTGAGAAGATTAGATAGAGCACAGCCCCGAGCTTGTGTAAATATGCTATCAGCACAACAAAAGCAATCTAGGCACAGAGACCCATGTGATATGATTGGTTGTGCTAAGTGCAATCATGGCGTAAGGTAGACTTCTAGTTTGTTGCCATAGCGTTAACTGCTTATAACACTTGATTACGTTTGTAGATGGAGATGAGACACTAAAGGAGAAAAACCGAAAGCAAATAGCACATGATTTTATGGCGCCACTTTGAAATTGTATTTTTGATTATGTGAATGACACACAAAATTTCATGGAAATTGCATGTGATAATGTAATGAGATTTTATGCATAATGTGACTATCGCCAAAGTGATTTTCCTTAACAGGAATATTTTAAAAGGGGATAGTGGGAAATCCTCAGTTCTTTTGGTTTATCTGCAAATACGCTACTGTGTGTAAATATTTAATGGAGCTTTGAGAATTTTCTAATTTTTCCATTTCAACTCTCTGGAATTGGCATAGGTTTTCCCCACTGTATGCAATGACACTAGACATTGCCACCTTTTTGTCAGCAAAATCCATTTTCCAAACACTGTATCCATCTGTTAAAACAATTGAAGTATATAAGATGCAAAAAATGTCTCAGGTTCCCCTTCAGGTACCTCTTTTTCACTCTGGCAAGCAGAAAGAAAACAAATATATTTCAGACCATGGGTAAAACCTTTCCTGCTTTAGGCAAGAATTTTTTGAGGCTATCTGTCTAGCCTGTGACTTGCCAGTCCCTGTAGTGAAGGTCAGTAGGTTACATACCTCGTGTTAAGAGCGGAAGGTCACTTGCCAAGTATTCCAGCTTAACTCCTGATTCTGCTCAGTCCTCCTCAGCACAGAAGTAATGCATTTTGTTGTGAGGACTGGAAGGGTTCCCTTTCTAAATCCTGAACAGCTGGTATACCCCATTTGCTCTTAAAATTTCATCTTCCCATTCTTTGCCTATTTTTGGTGAGGAATGTGGGCACATTTTTCTATACTTAGTCTTAATGTGCATTTTTTGAAAATATAGTAAGAACTAACTTTGAGTGGGAGGAAGTAAAAAATCATTTTCTAGTATTTTCTTCTTCAGACAAGCTGATATATTAATCCAGAAATACCATTTACTTGTCACTGTGGAGTAACTCTTTTAAAAAACAAGTTCCTGTTCTTGAAAGAAAGTACTGGAAATAGGCTTATTTTGCTTTGTAGAGAATCCAAAGAAAATTACATATTTGAGATGGATTCAAATACTGTTTTTATTCTCTTGCAAACAAAAATGTTAGGGTTTTTCTTCAGGGAGGAGGTATTTTCGATGCATCCTGTAAGTGAGGTTTAAATAGGTTCTTAGAAATCTCCCTTCTCTCCCCTCCCCTCCCCATGTGCTTGGGCAGAAAGTATTTATGAACCCGCAGTGAGATCTCAGCATTACATAAAACATCAATATAATATTACTTTATAACAGTTTTTATTTGCATAATCTTTTTGGCTTTTTCCAGGCTGTGGTCCCCTTTCACCTTCTCTTTGAGAATTTATTTTTCTTGTTAATTCAGTGGGCGTGGGTTTACTTTCGTATTTATCTTTACCTTCGCTCTGTTACTTGTCTATCTCCTTTTCCTAAAATCTGTTTCTAAAAGTTCTTTATTACTTTTTTTTTTCCTGTGTCTAATCTCCTTTTGACTGCTTTTCACCCTGACCTTAATATTATCAGACCTTAATATCCTCAGTCTCCATCTGGTAGATCAAAAAGGTGGCATAAAACATGGGGTCCCCAAGGAACGCTACATGTACCTCTCTCCCCAGCTCCCCCACACATTGGGGATTCCTGGTGGAATCCCACGATAGTACATTGTCTCAAGGAGTCCAGCTTTAACTTTACTTGAAATACAACATTTTAGGTAAACAATACACAAGGCTATTTTCTAGCCTGCTTCAATTGATCAGACGGATACTTAATTACCTATTCTCACACCACACTTTTTTGCCTATTGTAGTAGGGATATTTCTTCCCCTCTTCCTGGCTGTATGGCAAAGTACCTGATAGTTCTGTCATGTGCTTTAACCCCCTCCTTCATCTGCTGCTCTCATATTTCTAAAACAGAAGCAGCAAAAGGAACAAACTTAATGCGTACCGACTTGTGTCTTGAGTCTTGTATTTTTAAATAGCTACAATGAAAACTAAATAGTAGCTTTTCCTGGGACACATTACTGGCTTTGCACCTGTCAGCAGTCTTGAGGACGCAGGACTGTATCTGCTTAAGCTCAATTAACACTTGAAAAGTTATCTTCAAAGGGATAGGGTTACTGTCTTTTCATGTAAATAAAAATTTAGTATTTGTCGAAGAAAGATTCTTAAGTTGCCGTATCTGCTTGAAGCTCTAATGATTGCTGTCTTTGAAATGGAGTTTTAATATCTGGAAGGTGATCTTAAATTATCAATTTTTTAGACTACTATTATAGGTTATAATTTGCAAAAAATTTAGATGTCATTTGAAACTATAAATTATCAACCTGCAGCTTTTACTTTTGAAATACCATCTTTTCAGTACAGAGGACTGAACTTGCATTAAGTATGTTCTACATGTCTTGTAAACAGTAAATTGCAAGAGGTTTACCAGAAGTAAAAATCATTCTTAAACTTTGGGAGACTTTAAACCTAATCTGGGGTTTATCTGCCCCATACTAGATATGCAACGTGTTCATTTAAAACTACATTGGCAGCACTTTATAGATATTCCAGAGCTAGCTGTTATGGGAAGCTTAATCTGCTTCAGTACTTCTCAGCTCTTTGTTTTCCACTTGCAGAGTTGTCAAGGCATTTCTTCTTCCTATTTTATTGCTCACTTTTACAGGGTTATTAAAATTGGTGACTCTTTTCCAGGAAATTCTGAATCTCCAATTTCAAATCTCACCTCTCAAATGGAGAATAGGAGCTTCCAGTATATTTAAACTTTTCCATTTGTAGTTTGGTTTTCTGAACTACTGAATAGATTACAAAGCTCTTGATTTTTCTTTTTCTAATGAAAGTTTTCATCAAATCTTGTTTCAGAGCAGAAGTACGTCTCCTTTCTTCCTCCCCCTCCCCGATAACAATTTGAAGGCCTATAAATAGCTCAATTTCTTATACTTTGAGCTCAATAATTGGGAAAATATAAGCTGTCTCTTTTTTCTCAAGTCATTTAATGTCTAATTTTTATTAGTCTTGACTCAGTTTTTGATTCATGTGTCTTTACAAAATCATTTCTATATTAGAGGCTGATTTATAAAACAAAAATTCTGTCCCTGTGAAAGGGAGCTGGAGATTTAGAAGTTAAAGAAGTCTGGAGGTGAAGGGGTGGGAGGAAGCATAAATAAATAAAAATCAGTTTGATTTTTATCTTAGATTGTGAGGCTGTAAGTCATGTCTTTTCTGACTTCAGATTTTGGTTATGTATTTTTTGGTAGTCACTATGTGGACAGGTAGGAGAATGTCCTGAACCTTTTTTCCTTAATAAAAGGTACCCTTTTTCATAACCGTATCTGTAGATGTGAAGACAAGCAATTAAATGCCAAGCTTTTCTCTATAGCCGATTTTCTTTACATCACATTGTCCCAATAAAATAATCAAATCTCATGACAGTATTTTTAGCTGAAGTAGACACAGTTTCAAGCCATCAAGTTGTAACTTCTCTTTATTTTTTTTCTTAGTGTTAATCACGTAGGTGGTATGGTTTACCTGGCTTTAGATACCAAAATGCCAGTCCTACTTAACCTATGAATAAATAATCTCTGTGTAATAATATAAGGGAAAAATCCCAAGGACTTTTTGGAAGTGTGAGGGCAAGAGGAGTTTAAGGTTATGCTACACTTGCAAAGATTAGGACCAGAATGAAATGATAGGTGCCCTTGGAAGCATCATGGTTCATACATCCCTTTTGGCATGTTTCTGTTCCTGAAATACTGTAATCTGGAGTGAAATTTGGACATTTCTGAAATGCTAGTCTTTAGTGATCCTTTAGGTCAGTTTGTCAGGACACCACTTAATTTGGTCTTTTATTGTACAGTCAAAAGCCTTTTGATATTGTGATGTTGTTGACCAGTCTCCCATCAAGCGAACCTGCAGAGGAGATAAGAGTAAACTCATGGAAAGCTGAAATACTGTGGATATTATCTCTGCCCAGACACACTGCCCTTGTGTTTCATGCTCACTCGTGCTCATGCTCACTGATGCCCTCCTCCCCTGTCTTACCCAGAAGCATGTTGAAGGGTGTTCGGGGGGACTTGGAAATGAGTAGAGAATATGTTCTGACATTTGGACTGAACACTTAGACCATAGAGAGTAGATGGAACTGGACTGAGTCCAAAGCTTCTTAAACATGGAGTCTAATGCTCTTTGAGATGCCATAAGTTATCCAACACCACGCATACAGATTTGTAGACGTAACACTGTATATAGAGAAGGTATGTGCCCTTATGGACTGACACCTCATTAAGGAAAATACTGTGCGACATCTCAAATGGCACTAGATGACTGTGAGCAACAGGATCAAGCCTTGGATGACTTGCAAGCACAGAAAACATAAAAATTGTAGAAAAATGTACTCTGCACTTAATGATTATAGAGAGAATACTCCTGATTCATATAGGAAGTGCCGATAGTACCTGTTTCATCTTCTGAAATACCTGGTTAGTAAAGTTTACAGTAGCTATAAAATAACTTTTAGAAAATTTCAGATATAATACTTAACAAACCAAAAGTTTGTCAGGTGTGTGTTCGTTTTGGTTTTTGCTTTGTGGGGTGCTGTTAGCAGCTATTTACTTTTGCACTTCATCACGCCAAATTTGGTATTTGTCCTCAGAGTCTTTAAGGCTTAAGCTGTGGAATGTGATTTTCTAATGGTGTGATCTAATGTGATGTTGAGTTCACGTCGTATTTCATCTATTACTTGTTTCGGTTGATAGTATTACCAACAGGGGGAGCAGACACATGAGCCTTAATGGACGGTAGCATTCAGATGAATTTAATGTTTTCTTTATGCTTGTTTCTTTCTCAGCTTTCTTTGTTTTTTTTCAGGGACTGTGTGATTGACTCATACTTATGTGGTCTGTATTTTTTTTAAACAATATGCCACACACAACCATTTAGAAGTTTATTATCTCCACACTCGAGTTATGAGTTACTGTAAAGCCATTAGTACATGGAAATTCTCCTATTTTATTTATTGCAAGAGACTTGGAGTAAAGCCTTCCTGTATATTCCAGGTTCCAAAGTGACAAAAATTGAAGCCACAGTGGTGCCCTGTACACAGATTTCCATGTCATTTTTTGATCGGCTATACTCTGAAGGCGTTGTTAGAGAAACTGGAGATATTGTCAAATGTTATGATGACTATTATGATGATATTCTCATCTCTGATGAATTAAGGAAGGTTGGTATAGCAATGAATAGCGTCTTATGATTTTTCATACTCTATTAGGTATCATAAGGTCATGTTTTTCAGTGTTTTTTTTTCTGACATACTTTCCATGGTAAGAGTGGGCATCGATAGCCGTGTGATAGAAACGACCGAGGCACTGCTGTGCCTGCGTGTGTGAAAGCAATGACTGTTTTCCAGGTGGGCGCTCTTTCCTTTTTAGGTGGGAGAAAAAGGTAAAACCTTCTTCTACCCCTCCTTGTCTCAAGTATTCAGTGCTTGGGGGGGCGTGGGGGTGGGAAATGCAGCTACTCATTTGCCTAGGAGGGGAAAACAAGTGGTGCCAATGGAAAGGTCCCATGATACCCAGAGCTGTGGGTTCACCCAGCCTTCCAGGTAGTTGATGAAACTGCATGTACTCAATAGCAACATCCTGAAGCATTCCTGGCCAGGAATGCTGACAATACTGTATGTGAAGGCATTTGAAGAAAGTCATCTTCATGTATTTTCACTGAAACAAAGGAGAGGAAACTATGAAAAGAGAATTTATTTTACAGTGTAACGCTGAATAAGGACTAAATATAACTCTTGAACAGGCCTGCAAGGTAAAAACTGTTTGTTATACTCCAGTGGAGGTGTCAGCAGATTATTCTGAAAAAGAATCTCTCTAACAATGGCACCTTCTTAATCAATGTATGTCTTCACTGTAAGTGTTTCTTTTGACTTTGTAAGCTAAAACATTTTTTTTTTTACTTATGTTTGTTTAGCATTAGCAAAGTATAGTGTGGGAGAACTGGATTTTGCTCTTCCTTGTATATATAATCAACATAAGTACTTAATAATTATAGAGCTGCACTCATTTGCACTTGGCAAATCCTTTGAAGGCAATGTATTTGAACCAGTGACACTGGTTACAGGATGTGGCCTGAAATACTGGTCTGTCTTGTAAAGTTCTGGGAAAAGGAAAGAACTCAAGCTCATGTTTGAATTTCAGATGTGATTTGTAGCCTAGCAATTCAAAATACTATGTATTTATTTATAAGTTGGGTACGTGTGAAATGTTTTCTGAAAATTAAGTATGTTACAGAATCACAGAATCACAGAATAGTAGGGGTTGGAAGGGACCTCTGTGGGTCATCTAGTCCAACCCTCCTGCCGAAGCAGGTTTGTGCCCATTGCCCCTTGTCCTGTCACTGGGCACCACTGAAAAGAGCTTGTCCCCATCCTCCTGACACCCACCCTTCAGATATTTATAAGCATATATTAGGTCCCCTCGCAGCCTTCTCTTCTTTAGGCTGAACAAGCCCAGCTCCCTCAGCCTCTCCTCGTAGGGGAGATGCTCCAGTCCCCTCATCATCCTTGTAGCCCTCCGCTGGACTCTCTCCATGTTGTATGTAGGAAAGTCAGAGGCAACATTTAAAATAAGAAATCATTGGAGTTTCAGTCTCCTTCCTTTTTTCCTTCCCTTGGAAGGGATGTGTGTGTCTGCATTTGCAAGTGGAAGGATTCACATTTGTTTGAAATGAACGTCGCTCCTGGTCGTAAGGCCTAAAATGGCAGAAAGAATTAAGAATCTTCCAGGAATGACGTCAGAACTTGAGAGTGGGAGTGAATTAGTCAGCGCCCCAGGACAGTAGACTATTAGAAGCAGCAAACTGTCTGTCACACGGTGTCACAGGTGGGCTCTCAGCTGCAAAACTCCGTCTTTCTTTCCTGCCTCCCACGTCGTCTCTTGCTTCAACCAAGAAGAGTGTTGGGATACATATGAGCTGGCCGTCAACAAGAGCTGCTGCCCTGACCCCTTTTTACTCAGGCTGTGTAGTGATGTTGTAGAGGGCCAGAGAACAGTATGCTCACGTCTAGCTCTGACCAGTTTTCCTGTGTTTGCATCTGCAATTTGGTCGATGTGACTCAAATGTCTTGTAGCCACACCGAGTTACAATTCCTGTCCACCCTTACAGTGCACAGTGTTGGGACTGATCTAGCAAGTCCTCTGTGTTCACTTAATATTGTAGTAAAAGGCAGGTGAGATGCATGGAGGCAGCTGGATAGCATGTCTGGTTAATCCAGGCTACAGATAAAGGCTCACTAGAGCCTTCAGTAAAGAATGATGTGAGTTTGAGTGATCTCCTCTGGGACATCCTGGGAATTTCTTTACGGATATGAGATAACTGTGTAAACTTAGAGTAAATAAGCAAATGTAGGTAAAGTTACAAAAGACAAACTCATTGGCAGTGATCGACTTGCCAAGTATCACTAGATTATTTTCAGGTTATCAATTGTTTCATTAGTGTGATGAGCAAGTAGTGAGTGAATAACAAGACTCTTGATAAATCTTCCCTTATGTCTTGTGGGCAAAAATCTGACAGTGATTCTGCTTTATATTGTATGTATAAATCTTGAATATAATTGCATCATTGGAAGAAGGATTTAGAGAAAAGTACTTATTTGTTTCCATCCCTGGTTCATGTATTTTATATGGACGTAAACTCTGTGTAACATACAGCAAAATAGTTGTATTGTCTATAAACTTCATCTCAAATAAGAAATTTTCATCTCTTTGACTTCTTTGTTATATTCTTGTTCCACAAGGTCTTGCTTCTGGAAGATTCGGACCATTATGACTTATTCAGTGAATTGGATCGGAAAGAATTTCTGTTCTGTCTTTTTAAGCATCTTTGCATTGGAGGAACTCTTTGCCAGTTTGAAGATGCAATTGGCCCATACTTAGAAACTACAAAGGCTTTATATAAAGACTTAGTGAGGTAAATGTTTTCTGTTTTATGCAGTTGTGTATGTATGTGCTGTGCATAGATGCTTTGTGTCAATTTGTATAAATTTATTGTACATTACTGCTTCAAAAATGAGGCTGTTATGTAATCAATCTGCAAGCTTATTTGTCTTCGACTATCAAAACACCATGTAACAATGGTAGTAGTTCAATGGCAAAATATATGCAATTTTAATGGCATCTGTCCCACATAAAATTGTTTTTATATTACATATATAGGCATTGATGTTTTATAATTCACTCCCATTTTAAAGATTTTTGTTTCTGTAATCATCTACTAAAAACACGGCACGGTATTGGAATGAGATTGTGTTCCTACTGTCATTGATAAAATATCAACAATTAAGTCTTGGATGTATAGACTTGGACTACTTTCAAGCTGCTTTTGGCTTAGGATTTAAAAATTGAAATACTTCAGTTGACATTTTTAGTTCTGTATGTATTTTATTCCATCTGGGGTTTTTTGTTGTTTGTTGTTTATTTTTTTTAAATACAGTTGGATTTTGGCATTCCTAATTCCACAAATACATTTCTCACAGCGTACAGCTAAGGGTGATATAATCTGGCTGTTAACATGACACAGTGGACTAACACACATTTTTTGCCAGGTCTGGTGTATGGAATTATTTGGAATTGTATGGGTTTTTTTTCCTGAGATTAGAGGTGATTGAACAGAGGTTCAAATTCAGAAAAAAAGGCAATTTTTTAGCCTGTTTTTATATGTCTGTATGCTGACTTCTTCAATTGACAAGACTACTTATTTCCCGATTAGTGGGAAATGGAGTATAGATTCCTCTTCATATCCCCATTGGTTATGCAAAGACTCATTCCTAGCTAAGCTAATGGGGATATGAAGATTGTCAATTATATTACTAAAATTTTATACTTTATATTTTATTATACTATGCCACTCATAATAAGTATTTGTGGGATAGTATAAAGAAGAATATTAACCTGAACAATGGAAAACAATTGCAGACCTCTGAAATGAGAGAGAGTACAAGAACTCTGATAATATGGATACTAAGTAATGCACTACAATGTACACTACAAAGGCTGCAAATTGCTTAAAGTAAGAGTTAATATTTTTCTTCCTGCTCAGTTCTGTTTGGAACGGTGCGATGCCCAATTGTTACTTCATCTTCTATTTTAAGACTGTGCACAAGCATATTAGGAAAAAAATCATGTAAGATGTATTCATCATTAAGTCTGTTCTTAATATGTCTTTGGATAAACTTAAGAGTAAAATTTATATGTCTGAACAAAGATACAGTGAAAGGATTAGACCCAGTGATTCTTAATCACCTGAATATTTCTTCACTTCTGTAGCACTTGTGCATAGATTGATGTATCCAAACAAAATATTTAAAACAAAATATCTGGCTGATTTGGGGATTTTTTGTAATACTTCGCTAAGGAAGCTTACAAATCTTTAATAACTTCTAAACAGCTTTCAGATTTTCTAATGGTCAGTACTTTTCAGGGTGCGTGTTGATTTAGTCACATGCTGCTTCCCAGGGTCATCTAAAATGAATTATTAAAATAGCAGTAGAACCATCGATACTTCTAGAGAAACCACTGAAACAGAAATTGAGCATTATCAGTATTCCAAGAAGACCTTTTAGAAATAATGAACTTAGATTGCTGCATGTGTTAATCTGAATACTGTTGTTAGTCACCAGAGCTTTCTTATTAGTGTGATTAGTTTTGATATTTTCATATCATGTGTAGATGGAAATCAAGTGGGTTCTTCAGAAATACAGAATATGACATAAAAGCATCCATCAGTGCTTTAGCTTTACCCTCTCTTTTCTTTTAAATAGTTCACTCTGCACTTGAAACAAGCTGTGTGTTACTCTAATCCTTAGCCTTAGTGGATTCTGCCTTGACTACAGCTGTTGCTGCTCTTGTGTTATTGAATTGACCTAGGACAAAGCACGGATCCAAGCAGTTCCTTCACTTTATTGCTTCCCTTTGCTGTTGAGTTGTTTTCTCCTAAACATATTCAAGTTTTGTTCTAAGCCACTCCTCTTCTTTACCTTCCTATCTTCTTAAACCTTTTCCACATCTTTTCCCTTTTCCTGCTGTAAAATTCAATAAGGATTCTTGTTCTTGTTACTTAGGAAAAAAAAAAGCATCTGCCAAGATCTTCCCCACAATTCCATCCTGCTTTCACAGTTTGCTTTTCCTATACCCTCAACCTGTTCCCTGTTGGTCCTTTATATATTTCTGTATTTTTTTCTCTAGTGTGCTACTTCTGTCCTTTATACAATATCAGAAGAAGACCTTTCAAGATCCATTCTTCTGTTTTTTTGGTACTTAGGTGTTGTGGTTTTTTTCCAGCTGGCAGCTTCCTTTCAATCCTCCAAGTTTTGAAGTACATCTACTCAGTTCATGTGACGTAACCCATCTTCAATATTTATCTACTATGTGTCTCTCCATTTCTGTGCCTATAAAAGCCTGCTGGTTTCTCACTGCCAGTGGAGCTGGTGTTAATACAGACTAGCAGTTGGAAAGGAAAAATACTGCTGGTTTCTCATTGCCAGTGGAGCGACTAGCAGTTGAAAAGGAAAAATAATTTAACTAAATCTTTTTTCTTGCTCCTTTGATATTAAGTTCTCTGCTGGTCCCATGAGTAAAGCGTTTGATCTTGACATTTCAGACTTTTCCTCCCCTTCACAATCATGGTTGTCTCCTGCTTCGTTTCATTTCCCCCTGCCCTCAGTTTATCCAAAATGATGTTGCCGTTTTGTTACCACCATCTGAAGAGAGATAAAGCCAGTGAAAGGAGGAGCAGTGCAACTCTGATGAGGGACACTTGTGTCACAGTCTTGACTTAATTTCTAATCTCTAGTCCATGCTGTGCACTGTGTCACTTACTTCATTTTTGCACCAGAAAATAAAGCAATGGAAGTTACTTTCTTATGGCCTCTTATTTCCAGTAGACAATTGCTAATGAGAGTAGTGGTGTCTTAAATTCTGTTTCCCAAACAGTTCACCTTCAAATTCCTGTTGAAAACCAACTGTTCTTTAAATTCTTCTTTTCTAGACTGCTGTACTCCTGCTGGTTTCTTTTCATCTTGGATTGCAGTCGCATTGGGTACTTTCTACTCTTTGTAAAGTGGTATTAAAAACTTATCATGGTATTAAAAAAATATGTAAACTGTACTCTTCTTAAGCTTTAATTTTTCAGTCTTGAGGGCTCAGAAGGCTTGATGAAAAACAAATGGATAGTACAATAATTATTAGCTGCTAGCTGACGTGCATTGAAAAATTAGCCCCCATAAATGAACTTTAGACTAATCATGATATTCTTATGGAGGTATAAACCACCACTGTTTGGTCCTGTAACAGCTTTTGTTATGGATAAGAGCCTTGGCGTGAAGAATTCCACAAAAATGTCTTGAGTGCCGGGAGTGGCAGACCTACTGCAAGCTCTTCCTCACTTCTCTTTCTTACAGTCTTTCTCCTGGCCTTTCCTGAGTTCTAACTGCAAGGCACTAGCATTGAAAATAGTGTCAAAAGGTTTGAGATTTCATTTGATTAAAGCATTTCCATGTGTATTACTTTGGTATGAGAGAACGCAACAAGCTTTTGAAATTAACCACTCTAGATATTTTACAAGCACAGCTAGGAACATCCAAATACAACTATTAAATGGCAGGCATTTTCTCCTTTTTACAAAGAGTAATAATTGCTTCCTAATGAATTAATGCACAACTTGTCTGTTACTAATCCAGCAGTAATTAGTCTGACCAGTTGAATCCATCCAAAATTTTAGTTTTAAGTGTCATATCCTGTGTAAGCTAAACAATTTCAAAAACCTTGTTGTAGGATTTTTCATTTAGTTAAAGAATATATTTACATGACAAAAACTTGTTATTTCAAATATAATCTATGAATCTGTGTCAATAAATCTTGTCTTCTGTACTTAACCCCTGATTTTTCTGGCAGTGTCTCTCCATGGTGACAGCTGCTGTAGTATCTTGTAGTCATTGTTCTCTTCTTCCTTCTGTGCCATCTCCATGTCCTTTCCCTCATAATAAATGAATTTATGTGAAAGCATTGAGTTGTTCTTCTAGTGTTTGGAAAGCCTGATAAAATATTGCCAGTAAGGTTGGGCTATAAATAGAACCCAAAGTGAATTGAGAGATGATGAGGAAGTTTGCTCTTCATAAAAAGAGAATAGATGTACATTAAAATGATGAGGGAACTACCATATTCAGTTAGAAGTTAATAATTTGAAAGAACAAAGAGCGGTATTAAGGCTATTTTTAAGGAAATACTATCCTCTTCAAGAAGACAAGGTAGATTTTTTCTAAAACCTTTTAGAAAAAAAAAAGAAATAGAGCAAATGAGCTTGTCAAAGGCAACCTTCTGGTTTCTTTCAAATCAGCAAGGGGAGAACCTCATATGATTTTGGCAGATATATTATTTTGCCTTAAAAAATAACCAGAGTACTAGAAATAAACACTCAGTCTGAAAAATGACTTGCAGGAAGCTAACTACAAGGGGAAAATTTCTCAAGGCAGTGGAATAAATAGGAAGACTTATTCTCTGTTGCCCCTTACTTTGGTATCCTAGATATATATAACATAACAATTAGGAAACCAGAAATTGAAAGCATTGTTTTCAAACATGAAAATATGAAGCCAGAGTAACATAAATACTAGCTTTTGGGAGTGGTGATATATGGCAGAAAGTTCTAACCCCACTAACCCTCTATACCTTGTTCTGAAATTTGCCACTCTTTCAGCTGGGATGGTTAAAGAGTTTCTGAACTGCTGCAGTTTACAGCCTGGTACGTTAGCATAAACTGACATCCATGTTAGTTTATCTTTATATGCTGGTCTGTAAACTGCGGTGGTTCAGAAGCTGAGTCACGAACCAGTTGAGCTGTCCCTGCTGGGAAGGCGGTAATCTCTAAAGGGGTGGTAAGGCAGACAACTGGGGCCAGTACCAGTTTCAGCAATGCCGTCTTAATCCACTGTTGAGTATATCAACATGTCAGTTGCAAAAAAAAATTCTGAGAAAGCCTCTTCGCTGACTCACCACAGGAAAGATCAACTTCACAGTATAGGCTTAATTCATATGTGTGTCATTACTCTACAGATGAAATCAGTTAATTGGAGAGTCAATTTCTTTTATTCGTTGGAGAGATCGAATCAACAAAGACAATGTTGATTGATTTGGGGTTTGTTTGTTCTTATAAAAAGAAGCTTTGCAAAACAGTGGTAATAGGGGACTGCTGCCACAGACAGCTTGGAGCTAGTGCGGTGTACAACTGGACTGTGCTTAACACACATCCGCTAGCAACTTGGCTACATTGGGGCCTTTCCCGGGAACTGAACCTGTCGGTGACAAGGCAGGTTTTGAGCTATGCATTTCTTCGAACCATGTACGTATCGAATTTATAAGGCTTGACTGCTCCATAGTGAGTTTATATAAATAGGAATCTGTGAAAACAGATAAATTAATAGAAGTTATGCGACCTAATTTATGAAGAAATGTAAGTATCACTTAAAGCACACCTGCGGAAAAAATCACAGATTTAAAATATTTGATTTTAAAATATGTTGAGATGCTTTGCAGTAATATCTTAGTGTTATTAGTAATTATGACAGAAGAAATGCCAGTCTTCATAACAAACACAGTCTAGAAATATAAAATTTCAGAATTAATACCATCCTAAGTTGCATAGCTGTCTATATATACAACATTCAAAAGGAGGAAAAATTAACATAAACTATAATTATATATTCATTAAAAATGAGCTAAAGTCTGCATTTCTTCACCAGTACTACTGCTACTTCTTGTAGTCTGTACTAAGATGGAGTTCACAGTTTTTTTTTCCAAAGAACATGTGAAAAGAGTTTTACAAAATGTTTAGCAGAATAACTTTTCAGAGCTATCAAAATGCAAACTTTATACTGGAGTCATCTAGGCCTGGGTAATGGTGGCTAACTCAGGTGGCTAGATACGTTCAACAGTTTTCAGTAGAATGTCATAATATTCATGTTCTCTAACAATGGTCAGTGCGCCTTTTCATGGACAATGTGACATGAGTTGAATTTTAACCATTAATTTGAACTTGATCAAATCTAAGCATGAACATGGTGCATATGTTAAAAATGTATTTATTACATGAAGGAATTTAATAATCAGTGCTTACTGTATGTATTAAGAATGTATTATTCCCCTGTATTTCAGCGTTCAAAAGAATCCTGAAACAAAAGAAATAAATATTATTTCTACAGTTTTCAGAGTGTCTGCCTATGTAAGTATAAATAACTTTTTGATACGTGATTTTACTGGAAGTAATGTGCATGGCATGAAAATAATGAATTCACAAGCTTAATATTCCATTTTAAAGTGTAATTTTTCCATAGTTGCTTTACTAACTCTTCATCAATAACCACCAACTAGAGTTTTATTTGGTATCTCACTAAAAATAGGTTGACTGGATTACACTTGAAATCATAATAGTCATCCAGAAACTAATTTATGAAAAGAAGTATCTTTAGGTCCAAGTAATTCTGGTTTTAGATTTACTTTAGATAGCAGTAAGGATTAAGAATCCGCACTTGACTTTGTGTCGTTCTGTTTTTAGAAACGTTGCTAGGGCTTTATGAATTGCTTGTATTGCATCTGTTTCTGTAAAGACAGCAAGGAAGTTTAGTATACAAAAAGGCCTGGGTGATGAGATGACTGCTGACCTCTTTTCCCCTCCCTTGTCAAGTCTCATTCCTGTCTGTTTCTCTTGCAAAATCATACATTTACCATCAAGATAAGTTTGAGAACTGGTTACATCTTTACTTGATTCAGCGTATCTGTCATTTAATTGTTACAGTAGGATGAACTACTCCAAATTCTTCTTGAGTAACCAGAATATGTAATAATTAAATGTCAGATAATGTACCCAATTTCAAAAAAACTAGCTGATGTCATTTCAGACTGCACGAACCTCCCTGTGAGTTGCCAGTAGCCCAGTCGTTCATCTGTGGGTCAACATCTTTTAAGTACTGTGTGTAATTCATAAAAGGCTTTTGAAAGGTTTTTGAAAATAAGCATCAAAATGTGCCTTTCTACTAAGCTGCAGACTGTAATGAAAATAAAATAAAAAAGCAAAAACCTGGTAACTTGATGTTCTTCTGTTATTACTGTTTCCTCCCTATGTCCAAATCACATGTATTGATGAGAACTTTGCAGATTTCTATGGTTAGGCAGATGCCTAAAGGAAAAAAAAGACAAACTTCAGCAACTTTTTGAAAACAAAAAAGTGGGTGGACAAGAGATAATCCAGTGTAAATACAGAGCAGGCTATCCTCCCTGTAGCCTTGGGGGAAAATTAGGCTTTTCTGCACATTCTGGAAATTTGTAAGGTGAAGGAGAATTCTGAGATTCTGGTTTGCATTAAAGAACATCCTGAAGAATATTCTCTCTGAATAGAGAAAGGCTTAAATGGGTATGTCTGGATTGTTTGATGGCTTTGTGGATCAAAACACTTTAAACTCTACTTGCAAATCACAGGAAGGGCACCTACTGGAGCACGAATGCCTTGTGCTTGTGATGAAAAGTTTCTCTCAAGGAAAGAACTACATTTCTGCAGTAGATGTAGTTTCTGAGTTCATTTGGTAAACAACTGTAGAGTGTGTTATGATAATCTTGGTGTTGAGCTGACAATTTCTAAGCCATGTTTTCTTGGTTTGAAAGAAATGGACATACCCTCTTAGCCTGGTATAAATAAATTTAAAAAAAAAGTGGTTCTGGTAAAAGTGACTTGCGCAGCTCAGAAGCTAGATGAACACACATTTTTGCATGCTGGATTCATAAGTGGACAAATAAATATACTTGTATATTTGCACAAGTGGAATCAGGAATTAAAAACTTTATGTAACACCATACTGAGACCATCCCTTCCTTTTTATTTGGTTTTTAAGCTGTGGCTAAGAACCACTTGTTTTGGAAACAATATCTAAAAAAGTACACTATTAGAGATGTAAATGTTTCAAGGTATTAAGGTGTAGCTGTAAACGTCTGCAGATCTGTTTAGCATCAAAACTAGATAGTCCTGGGCATCACAAGAGAAACGATTTTAAATCTTGTGACTAAGTCCTCTGCTGAACTTCAGATACTCTTGAGAGCTTTGGGGCTTGCATATAATAAAACGTTGTTACAGCTGAAGTATGTGGATGCTAACTGGTAATTTAGAACTTTCTTTACCTGAACCCAAACTATGGCAGTGTTAGAAATCAGTGTAATGCAAAGTTTATTCAAAAAGTATTTAAAAAAATTGTCAATGAAGTGATGCAATTTAGAGAGATGTTCAGCAGTATGTTTATTTCTCTTATGATGCTATGCCTTATGCTGTGCATATGTACTCTGAAATCATCAGCTGATTATCTGAGTTCCTAGAAAGAAAAAATAAAATGATCCTACTCTAGCATCGGTAAATCGATCATTACAGTTCCTGCATGCCTGAAGTCCACACTGCAGGTGGAATTGGTATGATTCTTAATGCATGTACATGCACCCTATTGCTCTAAAGAACAGAGTAAGTCTGTGTAAATTCCAGAGCCTTTATGCTCAAGTATTTTAGCATTTTTATGACCTCTTTCGTTAGTTGAAATAAATTTAAGAACATTTTTCTTTTAATTAGATTGTATTTTTTGTTTTCCTGATATCAGGTTTGGTATATTCTGGAGTTTCTTGAAATGCCTCATCACCAGAACTTAACTCGTTTTTGTTCTTGAGCTGTTGAACAAGTTTTTAGTGTGCTAAGAGTGCCTTTAAACAGTCAAAATCTCAACTGGCATGGGTCGATTCCATAAGGACTGCAGGAGCAGGATCTTTAGTGGCAGTGGGAAAAATGTTGAACTCGCAGTCACATCTTGATGTTGGTCTTCTCTTGCTTTTTTTTGGTTTTGTGCGTGAGCTTAGGTTATTTTTGTATTGAACTCCAAAGGCATTGTGATGCTAAGTACGGTACAATCTTAAAGCTTGCTCTCCTTACTGCAGTTGAGAATCTAGTGGTTGATACACATGTATCCCTAAAAAACACCTGAAGAGAGCTGGGCATCTGAAAGTCAGAGCTACAGAGCTTGTATGCTGCGCTGCTTAAAAATAGAATGCTATTTTTAGCTTGCGGCATTTGACTACCATCGGAAAATGCTGTGAATAAACATTATCAAATCTCCACCTGCCTTCAACAATGCTTTTATGGTGGTGCTTATCTTAATTTAAGATTTACGGTCTTGAATAATCCCCCCAAGGGAAACACCAGAACATAGAGTAGGGGGTTCATGCTCTTTGAAATAACAGGAGAGAAAATGGGGCGCCAGTAACAGCTACTGGATAAAGTTCACAAATGGTCCTTGGAGCAGAAATTGGAACTCAGACGTTTTCCTCCTATGACTGCCTTAACCACTGAGAAAGGTTACAGTTTTCACATTTCCTTGGTCCAAAAATAAGTTGGATTATTTCATGCAAAGGAAGACAGCTTCCACAAAAGAATGTGAGAGATGTGCCTCTAATCTGTAATAGTTTGTAGTCTGGGAGTTTAAAATTTTCCAGGAGAAAATGGACAATATATGCAATATAGCAATTTCCCTCAGGCAAAAAAGTGGAACAGGACCTGCATCTCTTCAGCTGTTGTACAAAGGCACTGGGGAGCAGGAGGAAACTGTTACATGTTTTACTAGAAAGGAGAGGGAGAGGTCAGCTACATATCTGTTGATCTTTTAGATGTTCAATTACCAGATTGAATAAATAATACAAAAAAATCAACCCTCCAAAAATCCCCCCATCTAGTTTCTGGATCCCTACTGGATCTGAAGCGCGTGTCAAGCTGTGCTGCCCTGTTAACACTGACGCTTGTATTGACACGGGCAGGCGTGGGCTGCTCGGTTGAAGAGCCCAGTTCTTGTAGCGTTCGTTGTCAGCCGAACGTGTGCTTTCACAATGAGGAGTTTGGAGCTAGGTGCCTGGATTCCCTCTAAACCCTTTCTGAGGGTTGGCACAGCAAATGTTTTCAGTAACAGTTCAAAGTTGTTAGTAAGAGCTGTAATGAGCGTTTTCCTTAAATGCAAATGTTTGAAACTGAACAGATGCATTAGCAAATGTTAAGTGAAAAAGAATTACTGATAGAACAGCGTTATGCATTAGCATAGAGTCCCTAAATATTTTGTTCCAAAGGAAACATGATTGGACCCTTGTATATTTAATCATCTCTATTTTAGACTAATTGTGTAAGCACATGCTTACGTGTTTCACTTTACATTTTGTATTAATATTACATTTAGCTCAGGGTTATTTGAACTATGCAGGCAGAACTCCTGTGCGTTTTGTAGTGCCGGGGTCCTCATGGAGATGTAACGCTGCTTAAATAAACTGTGGCGTACTTGTTCTATTTTGCGATGAAATAGACTGTTACCGCTGGAACACAAGGGTACGTTTCATTCAGAATTTATGAACTCTGGTGGGTGTCCATGTTGTCGCTAATACTGGTTTGGGTTTTTTTAACTCCCTCCCAGGATGCCAGTGGCCTGCGGTACCCTTCAAGCAAGAGCCACGAGCAGAGTTTTGCCTACTTGACAGTGGACCCCTGCAAGCGACACGTGCACGCTCTGTACCACTGCTCCGGTGGAAGCTCCTTCGCTGACTAGCTCCAAACCCTGTGGCGGGAGCGGCCTTCCCTCCGCGCCGACCCGGCTGGAGACGGCCCGGTTCTCCTCCGAGCAAGGCCGTGCTCCGCTGCCGCGCGCTCCCTTCGCCAAGGCGTTGCTACATGGCTGCCGACCAGAGATTTTCTGTTTGAAAGGCGCATTCTGCGCTCCTGGCAGCGTCGTCCCCGCTTCCCCCACCCGTTTCAGCTAATAAAAGCGTTTCCCTAGCTGCCTGGCTGCCACGAACAGGCTTTTACAACCAGCCACGAGACG